CTTGCCACCTTATACTTCCTTCTTTTGCACAAGTTAGATGTTTGGATTTTCACTAAAAACTAAGAGAAATAGTATGTATAAAAAGAAGCAAGCATAATACCTTGCACTAAGGCCTTGATTAGTGTGGCAGATGAAGAAGCTATTATTAGATCCCGAAAATTTGGTTTTTAGATATAATCAAGCTTCAATCACTTTGCATTCTCCAAGTTCTTAAAGTTTTCTTTTTAATAGTCAATCAAAATATATTTTTCTATCTTTATCTTATATTCAAGTTATTTTATATAATATATATTTATATATATAATTAAATGATTGAGTAATTTCTTATTAAATTAATATTAATAATCTTTAAAATTAAATAAAAGAATTTATGTATTATTTATTTATTTAAAAATCTATACATATATTTATACATTCATTAAATTATTTACATATTTGTCTATCTATGTGTATGTAAGAAGTTAAAAATAAAGCACATAATTAAAAAGAATTCTTCAATAATTATCTTTAACTACGTCAAAAATTTGTTTTCTACATACATTATAGACTTCTCTATCTCTTTTAATCCAAAAGCTTTAAAATTTTTACTTTTTACACAATAATACTACAATCTAAATTCAAAATCATTGCATAAAGAAAAGACAAGTAATTGCAGCACTTTTAATAATGAATAACTACCAACCTCTATTTGCATCTATTCTAAGCCATTGATCCAACTATCTCTTAAGTCAACCAACTCTATATAAAATCATTCTTCTATTGCTGTATAAATGTTTTCAACTTATATATAAATCTTATATTATCTTTTTATGGAAATTTTTGGATCACTTCAAATTCTACTCTAATTTCAATAATAAGTTTCACTAACTATATATTTCAACATCTTTTGAAAAAATAAATATTCTATTGGTAGTATTATCTTTGTAGTGAAAAAAAATTTCAAGAGCCAAAATTTCTATTTTCATATGATTGGACATTGTTAATATATCCAAGTCAATGATACTATTACATGGTGAGATAAAATTTAAGATTATATACAATAATATATAAATAATAAATATCGAAAAAAAATCAAAAAATATTTTAAAATAATTTATATTAATTATATACAGAGATCAATTTGTATATTTTGTTTAAGCAAAATAATATAAAATTTAAACAATTAAGTATACATTATTATCTTTTGCTTACAATAAATTACTAAAGAAGAATACAAATAGATGGATCTATGATTTGAAATTTGGCACTTAATTTTGAAAATTAAGTTTAATACTGAGGTATTATAAGGCATTATGTGTACAAAAGACTAATCCTTTTTTTTATAAGTATACAAATAAGACATCCAATATCTACAATATATATGAATTTAATAATAACAAATAAACTATCAAAATCTATAGAAATTTTTTGGTGCAACTTCTTTATTAACCATATTGCTGTTTACACAAGGTTTTATAATCTCTTCTCTATTTCTACCACTCCTAGTTATAATAATTTGTACTCTTCAATCTACTTCATGTCTATTTGTAAATATTTAAAAACAATTACTTTGTTGCAATCAAAAATTCCATGCACTTCTTGTTTAAATTTTTTTTATTTGCTAAATAATTCTTGCTCTAGGTTTTCACTACTTTTTAATTAATAAGCATACTTATCTTCTACTAAGATTTTTTTGATTATATATATATATATATATATATATATATATATTATTTATAGTAATTTAATTAAAATATAATGAAATAAATTATAATAAAAAAATATTTTCTTCTCCAATTTTTTAGCCAGTTAATTTTCATTTCAGAAATATATTTATGTTTAAATTGTATTTCTATTCTTTCTTCAAAGCATTATCTATTCTTACATAGTTTTTTTTTAAAAAAATTATAAATGTGGTTGTTATTTTAATGCAAACTTCAAAAAAATTATTTGGCATATAAGTGTCTTTTTAAATTATTTTAGAGAAGGTGATAATGACCAAGACAAGTTTTCAATATATAAAAAAATATAGAAAAAATTAAACAAAATAAAAAAACTAAAAATTAAAAAAAAAAAAAAAAAAAACTATGAATTGGTATTATTGCAAAGTTGTTATGAAACTAAGAAAATAAATATAATTGTTGTATATTAAAAAATAATTAATTCTATTTTATTTTATTTAACAGATAAAAAAATTATATTAAGATAAAATATATGTTTGTAATTATATAACTATAAATTTCTCTATATATCTAAATTATATGTAATAATATTGATGAAAAATAAATATTTTTTTTTCTAGTCTTATACTCTAAATATTAGTACATAATTCAAATTCAAACTATATTTATAATTACTTAAACTACATTAATTTATTTTGCTTCTTTTAGTCTTAAATATGGCTCTTAAGATATAACTAAATTAGTTTCTTATCTACTAATAAAACTTTAAATTAAGAAATTATATTGTATACTTTTATTATATATCTTTTTTTACTATGAAGTATATTTAATTTGTTTTTCTTGCCACTCTTTTAATAACCAATTATTTTCATAATTATTCTATTTTTCAAACATCTAAGAACTTCAAAACTTTTTAAGCTCCTAAAAAAATAAAATAAAAATCAATCTTTAGAAGTTCAAAATATTTATCTTTATCCTTTAAGTTTTGCCTTAAATACTTAGAACTACTACCAAACTTTAATCCTACAAGATAAAACTTAATCCAATTGGATGTAATCTTTTCCTAATTGACAAATGAAATTTACTTCTTACCTATTTTTTAAAAAGTAAGTCAAATTAACTAATTTAGGTTTTTGAATAATTAAATATGTAAGTAATAAATGTATTTCATTATCAAATCCTAATTTATGCAAAAATATTAAAAATAATAATTTATTAATTTTTTTTGTAGAGATTTTAAAAACCTGCCAATACATAAATTGAACCTTAATTACACAACTTATTAAATAATAGAAGACAACCATAATATTTCTAAACATTCATTTTTTTTGTATATTTTTGAATAAATATTACTTTTGTTACGTTGATAATTGGGTTTTAATAATAAGTATTGAAAACACTGTAATTTAACTATTTTAGATATTAAAAATAATATTAATAAATAATATAACCCTGTTAAAGTTATAAATTATACTGGAAAATAGGTTAAACAAATGAAACTTATAAGCAATAAAACATTCGTAAGTTTAAACCAATTACCATCTTTGAAGCAAAAGCTTATTCAATAAAAACTTATTGTTAGATGGTAGAAATACTAAAATAAATTACAAATAGAATTTTCATGTTTTTACTGTAATAATTTTAACTTCAAATGTTTTCACTTGATTGTTCTGTATTAATTTATTTAACTATATTTATCCGATTTATTTTATATGGTTGTTATTAAAAAGATGTCAAAATTAGCAATACTTGCTTAATTTTATTACAACATCAAATTAAATATATGCTTATCCATCTTTAAAATATTTAATATTAGACATTACATTCAATCATCAAAAAATTGCTTTATCTCTTATATGTTCAATATATAGCAAATTAGTTATAATAATATAAAAATTTAGGAAGAAAGGCAACTGTGTTAATAATAACTCAAGTACATTGATATTGAGTTTTTTTTTAGATAAGCATCAAGTTCTTTGATAAAATAAAGTAAAATATATTATCTAAATAGTTCATTAAGTAAAACAAAATTTTGCCATTAGAGTAAGAGACAATCAATACAATCCTTATAGAGAGTACAATGAGTAAATATAATACCAATGCAAATTCTACATGTAATATTACTTCTAAAGAAGAATTATCAACAAATCTCATAACAAATAACATGTTAAATGCTTAAGTGAAATAATAATTTATAGTTCTTAACCTTTTATAAATAACCTTATTAAAGTGTTAGAGAAAGAAGCAATTGCAACTATCTATTATTGACGCCACAATAAGATGACTAAACATTCTATAAATCCAAATTTATAGTAAATTATAGAACTTTTAAGCACAAGTGGAGGTATCTTGTCTAAATTATTTTACATATTTTTTTACATGTTACATGTTAAATGCTTAAGTAAATTTTTTTTTGCAATAATTAAAGTCTTATGGCCAAATATGATAAAATGATAAATTTTTATATAAACAGAAAAAATGATTGAATGTAAATGTTAAAATGACAAATTAGATTTTAAACTAAATCCAGGTAGGCAAAGTAAAGAACTTTAAAATAAGCTTAAGAATCTTATCATACATTGATGAAGAATATCAAATTAGGCTTTAGAATCTTTGAACAACCATACTATTAGGCTATCAATATTGTAAGAAAGAAGAATAAATTTTAAACCTATCAACAACAATCCAAAATTTATGTCAGATAATTAAATATAATCAATAGTAGAGTATAATATGCTTGAGACACTAAAATAGAAGCCAATAAAGATATGATTAAGTAAATACATGAAATTACTTCTAAAATAATTAAAATTTTAAGTTTTGAATATATAATTGTTCTAAATAAAGAAAAAATGAACTAATGTGAAAAAAATATGAAAAATCAAATTTGTAATAGTACTCATGAAAAGTCATTTTCTTACATGGCTCCGGATTAAGATTGGTAGTCTAAATGTTGACAAAAACCAATTTTTTGCTTTAAAGGAAGAAATTAAAAAATAAAAATGAAAAATCACTTCTTGTGCAATAATAATAATGAATCATATTGGATATAGTGAATTTTAAAATTGTTGAATATATGTATCTATAAATATAATCAACTCAAAATCTGCTAATTTTTAAATGAATCAAAGAACTACATTTATGATCCACCTCCGATATCATACACTTTGCTCCATAACAGCACCATTACAATTTCTCAAACCCAAAATACACAAACCACCTAAACAGCTCATAAGCATGGATAGCCACCCAAACTCATGTTCAATACATAAACAAAGCAATTATTCATCACAGCCCATGATCAAGATATAGTTTCCTAAAACAAAACTTCAACAGAAGAGAGCTCAACTCCATCAAGAATGACGACAATAATTTATTGTAGTGCATCTGTACCAATAATTTGATTTCTTAAATTCTTACTCTTTCCATATCCCGCTGCAATACACAATACAGTTGCATGTACCCTAATGACGGCAGGAATCCAGTAATCACATCCAATACATCACAAGAATGTTATGCTTTACACTGATAGTGGGCACATCCACCCAGCCTATATCTTACAAGGGTGAGGAGATCGGTAACACAATGCAGCAGCTCCGCTTGCCAGTCCCCATTTCAATGCAGCAAGCCCGAAATTGAAGCACCTCTGCGCCGTTCGGGCTGCGAGAGCAGAGGTGCACTACAGCACGACAGCACCTTCCGCATCCACTCTGCCTGCGACAGGGCCACATTCTCACCATCCTTCCACAACTGCACCGCGATCGTGGCTATGGCGGCCCCTCCCTCCCTCCATCAGGGCCTGGGGACCCCAGTCCCTCTTCCACTCCACTTCCCCAGCCATTGCTGCCTCGTCGCCGAAGCAGACGCTCCGCGCTCCAGCGTTGCAAAATTTTACACCCACCCTGGGAGTTGATGCAGGAATCCTGTCAGCATGAGAAGGGTCCCGGTGCTCCGTTCCATCCTCCGATGCACTCCAGCAGCGGAGCCACGTGCTTGCCCTCGCAGATGGCGTCGTATACCTTCTCGATTTCCTGGCCGGGTGAGATGGTGCGCAGTCCCGACAGAAGCTGCGTCTTCAATCCGTTGCGCACGAACTTGTACAGCGGGTACGTTCTGCAGTTCTCGATCCTGTTGGGCACCGGCGAGTAGCCCTTGTTGTCGTATGCTTCCCGAATCTGTGGCACCTCCGTTTGCAGCCTCACCTTGAGTTCCTCCTCGAACGCCGCGATGAGATTGAAGGTCGAGCTGGCCGCCTGCTTGTCCGACTTGTTGGTCTGCAGGGCGTGCTGGACGAGCGCCTGTCGCAGCTTCTCCATGAGAGGATACGTGCCGCTGGCTGCGTCGTCGATGTACGTGAACACGGGCTGGTGATCCACCACTCTGAGGAGGTCCTTCTCGGCGAACCTGGCGGGCAGGAGGGTGCCATCCGCGGGGTTCATGAACAGCGTCTTCTTCGCCACCTGCGTGACGATGCTCTTCACGGCCGCCTGCATGGTCTCCTCGACGTGGCGCAGGTCGATGGCCTGGCACAACCCGACCAAGAATGTGGACGTCATGAGCTTGAGGATCTCGATGGCCTCCTCGGTTTTGCGCGCGGACACGAGGCCCAGCGAGTTGACGTCCTGGTTGTGCTGCTCGGCGCTCTGGACGTGGGTGGTGACCGGGTTGGCGAGGTAGTTGAGCTCGGACAGGTAGGAAGCCATGGCGATCTCCGCGCCCTTCATGCCGTAGTCGAGGCTGGGGTTGGGCCCTCCGCTCAAGTTGGATGGCAGGCCGTTGTTGTAGAAGTCGTTCACGAGCTCGCTGAATTGCGCGAACATGAGCTTCCCGATGGCGGCCACGGCGAGGCGCATGTTGTCCATGGAGACGCCGATGGGCGTGCCTTGGAAGTTGCCGCCGTGGAGTGCTCTGTCTCCCGCGGCGTCGATGAGGGGGTTGTCGTTGACGGAGTTGATCTCCCGCTGGATGGAATGCGTGGCGTTGCGGATGGCTTCCACCTGAGGCCCCAGCCACTGCGGCGAGGTGCGCAGGGCGTACCGATCCTGCTTGGGCTTCTTCAACGGGTCCGTCTCGTGCAACTTGGCAGCGGCCTTCATGTAGGAGCTCCCGTCGAGGAGGTACTCCATGATGGCCGCGGCCTCCATCTGACCCGGGTGGTGCTTCAGCTTGTGCGTCAAGGGGTCCGCGAACTCTGGCTTCCCCTGCATCACTTCGCAGAACAGCGCGGACAGCACTTCGGCCATGACCGCCAGGATGTTGGCGTCGAAGCAGGTGGTGGAGGCCAGCGCCGATCCCACGGCCGTGCCATTCACCATGGCCAGCCCCTCCTTGGGCTGCAGCTCGAAAGGCTTGTCGATGCCCGCCATCTGCAATGCTTCCACGGCCGACACCGTGCTGCCATCCTCGGTGACCGCCTCGGAATTGGGCCTGGCAGTGAGGAGACCTGCAATCCATCGCACATCCACGTGATGTCAGCATGGAATCGACCACGGCAACCTCCGAGTCCAGAATGAGTGAGACAGCAGGATGCTGGTGGAGAAGGGAGACACACACATACCAGCGATGTACGACAGCGGGACGAGGTCGCCGGAGGCTGTGATGGTGCCTCGGAGCGGCAACTTGGGCGTGACTTGGGAATTGAGGAGCTTCTCCATGGCTTCAAGAATCTCCCACCTGATGCCGGAGAATCCCTGCAACAATGTGTTGGTCCGCACCAGCATCGCAGCACGCGTGGTGGCCACCGGCAGCGTGTTTCCGGAATTCACCACTCCGGCGTTCAAGAACCTGATGAGTTCCCGCTGAAGCTCCACTCCCTGCTGCGTCCGGCGATGGGAAGTGGCGCCAAAGCCGGTGGTGACACCGTAGATGTCGGATCCGCGCATGATCTTGTTCAGCACCCAGTCGGAGCTCTGGTCCACGAGCTTCTTGGCGATGGCGGCATCCAAGCGCACCTGGAGCTCGGGCCTGCGAGCCACCGCCGCAACGTGGGCGATGGTGAGGCTGACGCCCTCCAAGGAAACGAAAGTGGACTCGGAGAACGTCCTGATGAAGCTCTTCACCTCGTCGAGGTGGCTGCCTTCCATGGCTTTGGCGGTGCGCTTCCAGTTCAAGGGGTCCGCGGACAGAGCAGGCAGGGGCGCACTGATACAGAACGCACTGGAGTCCACAAGCATGGGGTCGTGGTGGCCGCTGCTGTGGTCCACGCCGTTGCAGTGGTCGGTGCCTTGGCTGTCAACCTTATGCCCTGATATTGCCATCGGCATAATGGGGATTGTGTTTCACTTGGCTGCGGAAAAGTCACAATTGATCAGAGCCAGCTGCAGCCCAGTCGCCGCAAAAAGTTTCGCTTTGCAGCTGGTGGTCGGCGAGGCAACTGATCCTGGTCAATGTACAATTTGAGAGCGGTTTGCCAGTACGTGCAGCGCTGGCCTGGGATGGTCCTCAGTCCTGCATATCCATAGAGAGCTTCTCGTGCAAGCTGTGTACCGATAACCCCGTTTTTACAGAACCTGCACAGCTATCTATTGCCGATGTGGAGCGGTTTGATTCAGCAATCGCGACAAGTTTCTATCAAAATGCGCTCGCTATCTGACGCACTGCTCCCGACTCATGCTGTGGCCATGAAAGAATGGATGAGTTCAAGCTAAATACTAGACGGGCTTGTCCCCCAGGCCGACGTTGGTAATGAGTCGCTTGCTGCGGACCTGCACGAGCTGCACGAATATGACCTTGCCCAACAAACTCACCGGCGACTTATAGAGACGGGACCAAGTCCTCAAATGACCAGGTGGGTCCCGAAGGTCTGGATCAATCAATGATCTGGACCGTTCGATCACTCGGTGCATGTGGAGGTGGTGAAGTGACGCCCATGCGACACTCGCACAGTTAATTGGTGCAGCCGATGATAGATTTTTTTTATAGTTACTCATCCCCTGCAAGCTCTCCCAGCTGGATGAGAAAAATGTCCACCAACGGTGTCAAGCTTTCCTGGGCGCTTTTTCTCGCTGTTGAGTAGCGACGCAGAAAAAGAGCATAATTCAACCATGAAAGCATTACAACTACTCAATCAGTCCACTGACCAGATGGCAGCTAATTCTGAACCTAATTTTGTAATGCGTTACGGCGGCTTTTAGACATCGGTAATCCCAAATGCGGAGATATTTGACTGTCCAGTCAAATGCGGTGAATCTTTCACTGTAGACTTCAACGACCCCATTGACTGAAAGTTTGAGATAAACTGGAGAGTGCAGGTGTGCGGTGAAATTCAACCGTTAACTGTCTGGATTCGTGGATGGGAGTATGCAATGAAGTTCCAGAGATCGTGTTTTGCCGATTCTAGCACAACAGTGAGAATTTCAAAACAGCAAGCAGCATGTTCCGGAGCTTGTGACCATGTAGTCGAGAGAACTGTTACTTCCGGGGCTTGCAGGTGGGTTGGTCCTCCACACACGAAACCTTGACTCACGGCAATCGATTTGCGAGGGACCATGTTTCTTGTGCCCTGGAGTTGGTGGTTACGTGATCAAAGAGGGTTTCAGTCGGTTTGGTTGTGTACTCGCTGACTCTGCAATGAGACTGCAAGGCTGTCGATCCCTGTGCTCTCGTGCGAGCAACTTGAACGGCGGTCTTCAAGCCCAATCCTGGGGCTGCGAGAGCAAAATCGGTGTGTCATACCTATATGAAGGAAGGCGCAAAAAGGTGCAAGCTGCAAGAATTGTTAATGTATTGAAAAGGATGTCCTCATGGTACTTGACTCCCCTAATTTCAAAGGAGGTATTCTGTAAAGAGAAAGTGTTGGACAGGATGATTTGGAAGTAACTTCATGGTCAATTGTTACAAGTCAAATTAAAGCCATGAGTCAGAAAAGGTCAATAAATGTCCACTTCTTATGGTCAGGGCTTCAATTTACATGTGATCTTTGAAAAATTACAAGTTTTTCCAGCAGTTAAAACATTCATGAACCAAGACTCATGACCTTTTTCATTACCGAGAAGTAATGGTAAACATTTGCAGCTTGAGAGTGTTTTGGAATGTACCAATCACAATGGTATTGAAAGTTGAGAACTTTAAGAGAACAGATGGACGACCCAAGAAAGGATAAGCAGTAGGTTGGTTCAGGAGATGTGATAAGACTGGAATATTATGCACTGCGATCGTCAGCCCTGACTGTAGGCTACCTGTTGGTGAAATATGGAGGAGTCCGGCATGTTACTGCCGTGGTTGGTTTGGTGGCTCCACTCAACAGCAACCACTGTAAGCAGTGACGGAGGTTACAGCAACCTAACCTAAACTTCACATTCTGCACAACTGGAGGGCTTTCGATCTGATCGGTTAGTTGCCAGTGACATCACAACCTCGGATTTTTTGGTGAAGAGGACAACCAGAACTCACCACGCAATTCAGAAACCAGAGCCCAACTCATTGCGCTGCTCAGACAATCCGCAGTGGTCCACAGTCACAAGAATTGCTGGATCCCAGGAAGCGAACCCCAGCATCTGGTCACGACAGGGTCTCGAAAAGGTTCGTCAACCCAAGCGAAAGTGGGAACCCTAAAGGAGAGTCCAAGGGAAACCCAGCTCCCAGTGAGGCACCTTTCTGCATACTTGTAGCCCGCAGATCTGAGGAATTGGAGTTCCCCACGACTGTAAACGAAGTGGGATACCCGGCGGCGCCTTTAGGGGTCAAAGCCCTTGTCAATGTCGTCTTTGGCGCAATCTCCTTTTTCAACGCCAGATCTCTTTTTGTTGCGTTGCGATGTGCGGGAAGGGAGAGTGGCGAAGTCGCAGCCCTGGCAACGAAGAGTCCATTTTCGTGGCGCAAAGGGGGTCATAAAGGCGGTCTTTGCTGGGGAAAGGGAAAGGTGGACCAGGGCTCGGCTGGGCTGGGTGGAATAAAGAAGAAGGGAATTGGTGTGGCCCTTATATTGTATATCCCCCCCCCCTCTTCATGCCCATTCTCTCTCCTGCCTTCCTTCTCGGTTGACCAATCCCTGCTTCACGTTAACTGCGTGGCTGTTTGTTAAACCCCCTCAGCCATGGCCAATTGTTCTGCCCACACTATTTGTTACTACTATCCTTTCTCTTACCCCTTCTCCCCTCTGTTCATGTTTTGCTGTTACAACATTGAAAGGATTTGTGTTTGTGTGTGCATGTATGTATCTGTATATGTATTATTTTAAACCCATGCCATTTAGCGCTACAATCTTTGGCACAACCATCCATTTTCTTATTCATTCAAGCTCTCTTGTCCCCATGTTCCCCTTGTTTCTTTCTTCACGAGTTATCATTATGTTTGTGTGTGCATGTATGTATCTGTATATGTATTATTTTAAACCCATGCCATTTGGCGATGCAATCTTTGGCACACCCATCCATTTTCTAATTCATTCAAGCTCTCTTGTCTCCATGTTCTACTTGTTTCTTTCTTCACGTGCAATCATTGTGTTTGTGTGTGCATATATGTATCTATATATGTATTATTTTAAACCCATGCCATTTGGAATTGCAATCTTTGGCACACCCATCAATTTCCTTGTTCATTCATGCTCACTTGTTCCCATGTTTTCCTTGTTTTTTTTCATCACGGGCAATAATTGTGTTTGTGTGTGCATGTATATATCTGTATATGCATTATTTTAAACCCATGCTATTTGACACTGTAATCTTTGGCACATCCATCCATTTTCTTGTTCATTCATGCTCTCCTGTCTCTATGTTCTCTTTGTTTCTTTCTTCACGGGCAATCATTGTGTTTGTGTGTGCATGTATGTATTTGTATATGTAATATTTTAAACCCATGCCATTATGCGTTGCAATCCTTAGTACACCCATCCATTTTCTTGTTCATTCATCTTCACTCGTCCATAAGTTCCACTTGCTTCTTCATGGGCAATCATTGTGTTTGTGTGTGCATGTATGTATCTGAATATGTATTAATTTAAACCAATGCCATTATGCGCTGTCGTACTATAAATGCTTACAGTATGTAAAAATTAGTTAAAACATATTATATGTTAATAAATCTAAATGTGTGTTAAAGTGATTAATAGATTAAATTAAAAAGAGTTGGTAAAAAAAAAAAAAACTTTATTTTATTTTCCTTACTTAGTTTGATTATAGTATATAAAAGTTATAGAACCTTAATGTTAAGTATGAAGCCTTGAGAGGAGATAGGGGCCTAAAGATGAAGATTTAAACTAATAGGAGGTTAATTGGGAGGGATGAAACCAAGGCATGGTTGGATGAAGGTAGAAATAAGGATCTTTATCCCCATTGGTCGAAATCCATGCCCAATGGGCTTTTAGGAGGCTGCCCGCGACCTTGATAAGGGTTTCGGCGACTTCAAAGAAGCCATTAGGAAATCAGAGACAAGGGTTGTAAAATTTAGAGTTTTGGTTACAATTTTTGTGCAAATTTTATAGGGTTTGGAGTTAGGGTGAATAAGTTATAGCCGTTTGAAGTTAAGGTGTCAATTTGAGACCTACTGTTACTCTTTTGAGTTTAAGAGGAGTCTTATGGAAGCTTTTGGAGATCGGAAGGTGCGGCTGGAAGGTCAACTTCAAGACATACATCTTTTGCGAAGGAAATTTTGCATTTGGAGTTTATGTGAAGGAGTTATAGGGAGTTAAAGACAGCGCATTCAAATCAAAGGTAGTAAGTTAGCGGTTTTGTTCAAAGTAGTGTTAGGAGCCATAACTTGAGTTTTCGAACGAAATTTTGGCTCAAACTTTGGAAGAATGTAAAAATTTGTGTTAAAAAGCTATCTATATAAGTTTCGTGGCATTTGGACTTATGGTTTGTGAGATATGAAGAAAATTGCGCACGGGTATATAAAGATTAGGGTTTGAAGCAACTGTTAGGGTTTGAAATTTGCGGTTGAAATTCGTTGTACAAATTAATAACAACATATCAGTACTTCATGTAAATTTTGATCTTGTTTGGACGGTTGGATCAAGAGTTATGAGGTGTTGAGATTCGGGAGAATTTCCACACAAGGATATACAAGGTTTTAGAGTACTTCTACCATATTTTGGGTGTTGTTGGTTATTTAAGACTTAAGTATTTGGTATAATTGTCCCAAAAGGAGAACTTATATATATAAAATTAGGGTTTCCTTATTTTAAGCTTGATTGAGCAATTAATAATAGCCAGAAGCCCAGCGCTTTCTTGAGGCAAAACCTCTCTATCCCGACATCTTGGTGCTTCCACTGAGAGAGCCTTAAGGCACTTATTTTCAACAAGTTGAAATGGGGGATCAAAATCTAGGGTTTGGATTATCAGGAGGAGTGGGTGCCCATGATTTATTCATGGCATTTGCTCAATTTATGAAAGAAAGGCAACAGGTACATAAAGAGGATAGAAACACTATTAAGGCCTTACAAGTAGTAGTGGACAAAGTTGGGAGGTTTAATGGGAGGAATATCACCAAATTCTTAAAGATTTATACATGTGAAATGGAAGTGCCTCAAGTTTCAAAGATGAAGATGATTACCACCTTTGATTTGGTAGTAGTACCAGAAATCAGAGAAAGGGTGCAAGAGTTACATTCTGAGACTATATCATGGAAGAAATTTGAAGAACTCTTGAAAGATGAATTTTTTGAAGAAGATTCAGAAAGAATGACAAGACAGACTTTTTTGGAGTGGATTGAGCAAAGGCTGGGGAATCAATTGGCTCCAAATGAATTAATCAATGAATTTGAAAATAAGTTTGGGTAATTATCATGGCGAGAGAGGCAACTATTAGAAACAATAAAAAATGAGTTATTCTTGCAAGCAACTGATGAATATTTGGAAGACAAGCTTCTCTTTTATCTGGCAAATAAGACATCTGAGAGTGGTTTTACAAATAATTCGAAGCTAGTAAAAGAGACAGTGGGACTTTTGGC